GAATCCCATTATATATGACATAACAGTAATGTGTATGAAATTAATCAATACGTTATACATATGAGTGTCCATCACATGACGGCGCGAACCCATGAAATACCATATGAGCCACGCGTGACATAAATACACACTATATGTCAACCGAGCCATCGGTACAAATGCCCGGTGCGATAGAAATGTGTTGATTAGCCCTCCCTTTCCCGATATACACAACCATATCATTAGTGACGTACAAACAGACCAAACAATTTGACAGAAGTTATAAAACAGAGCCGAAATTACGGGTGTATACGACTGGCCGTAATTCCAGTAGACTTTATCCCACAATGGGATACAATAGGCACTCAATATAGCAATCCATACGATAGTCAGCGATGACTGTAATTGAAACAAAAAAAATCAGCAAATTTTAAGGAACTTAAGAATATCGACAAAATTATTGACAAACTTTGCTTAAATTCAATGACTTTTTGCGATACAATGCATATCCCAATAGAGTGCCCATAAAATAGACGGCGCCGTAAGAAACTGGTATTTTATGTATTGTGAAACTGAAGTACTTTTCAAAATATTCTCTATAAGGAATAAATGTATATTTTGTTTTAAAATTTTATCTCAATAATAATTTTAGTTATTATAGGCTTACGTGCGGCCGGTGTTGATGAGCGCCGGCGGCAGTTCATAGATATACCACAATATGGTTGATATGATGGCAAACATCACAATTGTTGCGATGTTTAAAATGACACCAAATTTAATATTATAGAGAAATACTAATATCAATGCGGCTGTCATTATATGGTATTGAAAGTCAAGGGCTATAAACCAGGTGTGAATCGCACACTATTTTCAAATCAAATGTACATTTATTTGTAAATTATGTTAATTTATTAATTTTAAAAGTTATACCATTTGATCAGATTTGTAGAGATTTTGAATGAGAAGCAGATTTAGCCACCAATTGGTCTCACATTTGTCAACATTACTGCCGACCACTTCAGCCCAAAGAGGGCCCGAACCCAACAGTGGTAACAAAAATGTCAATAATATAAATATCATTAATTGTGGCAAAAGTCGGGCCAAACGTAACACAATATA